GCCAAGGGTCAACAGTGGCCAAGTGCTCTCAGTGAGAGGCTGGCAGAGGGCCTCCAGACCCTATCTCCAAGGGAAAAGCAAAGACAACAGGGGAAAGCCAACTTGCCCTGTTTGCCTAGTCTGAGTCTCTGTTGTGTGATATGGATTCCTATACAGGGAGGGGATACAGTTGGGGGCTCCTTTTTTGGGATGTCCATTTTTTTTTTAAGATTTTATTTATTTGACAGAGAGATCACAAGTAGACAGAGAGGTGGGGGGGGAACGAGCCCCCCACTGAGCAGAAAGCCTGATGCGGGGTTCAATCCCAGGACTCTGAGATCATGACTGAGCCAAAGGCAGAGGCCCAACCCACTGAGCCACCCAGGCACCCCACTGGGATGTCCATTTTATCACCAGGCTGAAGACACCCATGGCTCTAGTTCTCCTGGGGGTCCAGCTGGACACTGGCATGTTGATAAACTCTCCTAAAATTCAGTGAGCAAAAATCCCTGTGTATTTTGGGGTGGTTATTCAAAGGCTCAAGGGGTCAGGGCTGAGGGAAAGGGGCCTGGTACTGATAACAGTTTTCCTCCCTCTGGCCTCACTGTTCTTCAACCATATGGTTGCTAAGGTGATTTTCTACTTGAGACAAAGGAGACCCTGTCCATTCCCTGCTTGTCCTCAAGACGAAGTCCACACTCCTTAGCTTGCCACTCAAGGCCTCTCTTTGTAACTTCATCTTTTGGCTTCTCCTGCAATTTAGACCCCAGCCATTCCAAACTACATGCCGTTTCTTGAATGTTCCATGCTTTTTTGAGCCACTGCCTAGAATGCCCTCTTCGCTCACATGTCCACCTAGAAATTTTCGACTCAAAACTGGAAACACTGCTCAAAAATCCACTGCTCTGTGAAGCCATCTTGGCTCTTGTGGAAGCTCCTCTCCTACCACCAACCCAGGGAGATGCAACTTCTCTCTCCTCTCGAATACTCCCTCACCTTGGGAGGACTTCTGTAACTGCAGGTGGCCCCATGCACTGTGTGAGTTACGTGCCTACCTGCTCTGACTTCCCTGGGGCAAGATCAGCATCTCTCCCATCTTTACACACCTGCCACCTGGCACACAGCTGGTCCTCGACAAAGAGGAGCCAGATGAAGACGGATGGCCCTGCAGGCAGCAGGAAAAGAAAGGAAAGGGGCTTAAAGGGAGCTTCAACTCCTTAAGCATGTTTCGGGCCAGCATCAAAGTTGGGTCAGGGCACGGCTTAAAAGCTGGTCATGGAAAAAAGGGACGTGGTGACAGGACACCGACTTTCTAAGCATCCTGGACCAGGGCTTGGGAGAGCTGAGAGAAACTGATCATTTAGGTAAATATGCCACTGCCCAAGGCAGCTGGGTGGGGGTACCAATAAGACTACAAAATCTTGTATTAGCCTCAGAGAGCAGAAACATCTGCTAAAGCCACAGTGGGCAGGCTGGCCAAGTTCAGCAACGGGTTAGCCAGGACAGCCCTGTGACCAACGGAAAGGGCCACAGAGGGGGAAGAATCAATCATCCGTGCAAAGAGGATAGGGGGGACTAGCAGCAACAGGGGGGTTCCAAAGCTCAGGGGAGCCAGATGTCAGCGACCCAGCCAGAAGTGGCAGCAGGCCCCTCCTCTGCCCCTTCCAGCCCAGGACTTCGCTGCCTGCAAACTCCCTCACGCCTTCGGAGCCCATTGGCCGTCAGAGCCTGAGAACTTAGGGAGTTTTTCTCCTTTTCTCTGAGGACTTCAAGGTTTTAACAGTAAGGTTCAGCTAGCTCCCCACTCGCACACTGAAACAGCTTGAAAGGAAAGAGATAATTCACTTGCTAGCCAACATCTCTGTTGAAAGAGTTTTCTTTTTCATATCAACACTTCCATGAATTCCGAATGGGATCAACTCTTTGCTACACAGCTGGACGTTAACAAAACATCAACACTCTGACAACCTGCTGGGGTCAGAAAGGAACATCTTAAAACTCTTTGGACTCCACGTTAAGACAGGCTTCCAATCCCAATCTTTGATCTCTATTATAAAGCAGTACCAATAAAATATCGTAGAGATTTATGGGCGAACTTTCATTTGAGCTGTTTCACACCTAAAATAACACGGGCACTGGGGCCAATAGGCAGACAATTTAGCTTCAGGTTTCAACTGTTTAGGGTTTCTTTGACTTTTAAAACTTAACTCACTTATTTTTAAAAATTACTTTACATTTCACAGTTTCATTGTGTTTCCCTCTCGGGGAAGACGGGAGATGTTTAACTGGGTAGATGTCATGTCCTTCTGAGAAGGACAGGCCTAAACTCAGGTAGACGCTTGTCCCCTTAATGAACAGATGCCTGATTTTTGTCAAAAAGAAAGAGTGTGTCCTTTTCATGGGACTTAAATGGACACTATTTCAATTTATCTTTTCTCCTGAGTATACTCTATGGTTAATGAAAATAACCAAATACTTATTACTGGGAGTAAAATCCCAAAAAAGAATTCCATTTTAAAGACAGTAAAATGAAATTTGGACCTAGTATCAGTTTTATTGTGTAGTCCTGATCTGTGGGATAACTCCCCAAATCAAGCTTAGACTGTAAATCTGGTATCAGCTACTTATAAGCCAGTACCCCTGAGTGAAAACAAATTGGTGCCACATTCCCTCTAAGGTGGGAAACCAACTGGCTCCCCACCCCCAACGCACACACCCCTCCTTCCATCTGATAAAGCTGGGAGAGATGATTCTGCCAAATGAGAAAGCAGAGAATCTGGAGGAAGAGGTAAGTAGCTCATCCAGCTTTTAAGAAGACCTTTATAGGCAAAGTAAAGTGAAAACAGCAGAAAAGTTCCTGGACACAGTCCTTTTTACAAAAATGAGTAGGAAGAAAGGTCAGAGCAGTGGTTCAAAGGAACCAGAATGCATAGCTGCTGCTGTCCAAGGTTGCGGGCTGGTGCCACTCGTTCCTGCCAAAGTGGGGGCCGAGCCGGGCAGCAGGAGCCTGCAGTCACTCGGGGGCACGGGCCCTTCCTCCATCCAGCTCCACACTTTCAGAGCTCAGGAGCAGAGCCCCAACTCTGCAGCCCTGAGAAGTCCTAGAACTGTGACAATCACGAACACAAAGTAGAGGAAAGAAAATGTGCTTTGTTATTTAACCCCATTTTATTTTTCTATTTTCTGATTTTGAAACATAATTCCTGATTATAAAAGGAGAATGCAAGAGCTAGGTAAGAGAAAATCACCTGCTTAGAAGAACCTCTAATTGTGTCCAAAACTCTTAAATATGTGAATCTGAAGAACAGAGTTATTAAACTTTTCTATGTGGGGAGAGCAACTCATGTTTATTCACTTTCTGTGGTCTTAAAAGTCTTAGAGATTGTCACTTCTGTTTTTCTTTCCATCATAACATCATAGTTTGGTGGATAGAGGGGATTCTGGAGTCTGATCTCCCTTCCCTCAGAGGCCTTGGGCCAGACAAAGGCCAGAGTTGGTCAACTCCATTTTGGGGCAGGAGGTATGGACGGGATATCGTCAACCTGAGGTTATATTAAGTGTAAACAATGTACGAATGTCAGAGCTCTGTTCTTGGGAGAGCCAAGCTATGAGTGAGAGGCTTGGCTTTGGAGTGGTTCCTTTGTCTGCACAGGCCGGGGACCTATACCTTTTTTTTTTTTTTTAATTTATTTGACAGAGATCACAAGTAGGCAGAGAGACAGGCAGAGAGAGAGGGGGAAGGAGGCTCCCTGCCTAGCAGAGAGCCCGATGCAGGGCTCGATCCCAGGACCCTAGGATCATGACCTGAGCTGAAGGCAGAGGCTTTAACCCACTGAGCCACCCAGGTGCCCCAGACCTATACTTTTATAAAAGGAGCCCGAGTGGAGGGAAAAGTCATTGCCCAAAAAGCTTTCAAGATGAAAACATTTTTATTTAAGTATAAAACACACACATACCAGTGCACAAGTCATAAAGGAAAAGTCTGTTCCCTTTCACTAAGTGAAAGCTCAGGTAATCAGGACCCAGATGCAGAATCGCGGGCAATCCCCCCGCACTTGGGCTCTCTAGTCCTACCATGTGAATCCATAGAACTCACTTGTTCACGCTACCTTCGATGGGTAGGGAATAGTGCCTGTTTTTTTGGGTGGGATCATACTGGTATTTTAATTTACATTTCCCTGATAATGTAGGATGTGGACCATCTTCTCACATGCATATTTGTCATCTGTAGATCTTCTCTGATGGAATCCTTTCTCGTCTCTGAAAAAGGGCAAGGCAGGAGCTGATTCCAGCAGGGGTGGAAACGTTTTCTCAAAAGGCATTTTGGGGGCGCCTAGGTGGCTCAGTGAGTTAAGCCTCTGCCTTCAGCTCAAGTCATAATCTTGGGGTCCTGGGATCGAGCCCTGCATTGGGCTCCCTGCTTGGCGGGGAGCCTGCTTCCCCCCCGGCCTCCCCTGCCTGCCTCTCTGCCTACTTGTGATCTCTCTCTGTCAAATAAATGAAATATTAAAAAAAAAAAAGAGGCATTTCATCCCATTCTGTTGTAGTGCGACAATGCCACAGACATTAAAATGCCACAGTATAGCACGTGGCTGTATTGCAAAAATACATCATAAAAACTGTGGCTGGCATGGGCTGAGTCGGCTGATCCCGGCTTCGGAACAATATTTTGAAGGCAGTTACTGTTCCTTATTTCTTTCTGAACACGAGCACCTGTCTGACTTACTCAGGTGGCAGGGACAGTCTGAAACCTGAGATGGGTCCCCGTGTCTTGCCATGATATGGTTCCTCTTGAATATATAAGGAAAACATGCAACCACCAAGGGCCAACACTTGCTGGAGCTCACGTTATAGGGAGAAAAACCCTGCTTTTTAAAGATCTTATTAGATGTGAGAAAAGATGTTCAGACAAGGTTGCTATTCCTCATGCCTTTTTTTTTTTTTTGGTAAGAAAAGAGAAACAATGGAAGCAGACCAAACAGGCTGTCCTTCAATTCCAGAAACTGGAGACGGATACTTACCTTCTGAACCAAATAGACGCTTGTAGCTCTCTCAGCAGCCACTTTATCCAGGGGGGATCCCTCGGGAACAAAGTAACTGACGTCTGCGATGTGAACCCCCACTTCAAAGTTGCCTGTAAATGCAGAAGGAGGCTGATCAGTGTGGTGTGGAAAGCAAGGTCATCCCTCCCAGGAATCCCTCCTGGGACTGTGTGGCACTGTTGGGAGGCCACGGGCCTCAAAGCTCGGGTCACCGTCTCCAGTCTTCCCGAGGATTCACATGGTTACTTTCCTTACTGTATCCTAGCAGATGGTGAGATTTTTATCCTCAAGACACAACATTAACCATCTTCGCAAGATGTTTCCCGCTTCTAAAGGCCTCTTGTGTTTGTAAACATCAGTGGACTTGCCAAAGCAGGCTCATTCTGGCTGGCAAAGGGGCCCTTTCAGGGCACTAGAAAGGAGTGAGTTCCTGAATCCTGCAGACTCTGCCTCTAAGGACTCTGTCCTTTCTGTCCATTCTGAGCACAGTCTTTTTTTTTTTTTTAAAGATTTTTATTTATTCATGGACAGAGAGAGATCACAAGTAGGCAGAGCAGGCAGAGAGAGGTGGAGGAGGAAGCAGGCTCCCCACTGAGCAGAGAGCCCGACGTGGGACTCGATCCCAGGACCCTGAGATCATGACCTGAGCCGAAGGCAGAGAGGCCCAACCCTCTGAGCCACCCAGGCGTCCCTGAGCACAGTCTTTTATGTCGAGCCCTGCACCTGGCCTTCCTACCTTGATTCTGCCCCTTCTTACCGAGCCCTGGAATCTTCTCAGTCAGGGATCTGGTGATGCCACTTCCCAAGCCTTTAAGCCATGTCCTTGCTTGGTCTCCCCACAACCTGCCTAGCCAGCCTTCAGCGCCCCCCACATGTCTGCATGCAGCCATCATGGGAAACCTCCTTCCGCTCCCAGAACACAGCTTACCTCATCCCACTGACATATTTGCTTGGCTCATGGTTTTTTTCTTATGTTTGGGATCATCGCAATGGGACGTGCCTATCAAAATCCTTCTTACCATACAAGGATCAGTTTAAAGAGAATCTGGGAACAAGAAGGGATTCTCTGCCCTCTGTTTCTTCTACCTCCACAGTCAAAGCACCTAATCCATGAATGAAGATGATAACCATGGTCTTTTCCTCAGTGCACTCATCTCTGCCAGATATCACAATGTATCTTTATTGGCTTACAAATCTACTGTCTGCCTCTCTTCCTACAATGTAAGCTCCAGCAAGGCAGAACCCTCTGTGTAAAGTTCACTGGTCTAGGCCCAGTACCTAGAAGAATGTCTGACAAACGGCAGGTACTCAAGAAATACCTGTTGAGTGAATGAATTAACAATAGGCTTGTCTGCCTGTTGTCTTTTCCTGTCTGGTAGAAGACCTACTTTTTTCCCTTACAGAATTGCCCTGTCCCTTTCTGGTGGAGCGGGCCCTGCCCACCAGTTCTGCCAGAGAGATGGACAGATGACGTAGGCTGGTAGAATTACACTTAAAGTGGGATTGAGGGGATGGTTAAGTTATAAATTTAGATTTACTCTTGAACATCCCACAAACCAGATCTCAAATACAGCATTCGTGATTACACACAAATGCACCCACACACTTACATATATATATGAGAATGGACAGAGCGGACAGAATACAAAAAAGAGTTCACATGTAAAGTAGGGGTACAGTGTAATGAGCGCGTCATGGGCAGACAGGCACACTGACGATACCAACACAAAGGTGAATTTGCTCAACTTTAAATATATGCTTGGGTGCTTGGATGGTTCACCTGACTGAGCATCTAAATCTTGATTTCAGCTTGGGTTATGGTCTCATCATGAGATGGAGCCCCGCATCAGGCTCCACACTGAGCACGGAGTCGGCTTCAGATTCTTTCTCTCCCTCTCTCTCTCTCTTCCTCCCCCACTCCTCTGCTCTTTCCCCCACTCACGTGCATGCACTCTCCCTCTCTAAAATAACTAAATAAAATCTTTGAATATATGCTTGATGTAATTCCACCATACCCTATCCTTGTTCATAGTAACTTCAGGGAAAGGGATCTCTGCTGGGACCCTGGACAGTAAGGACCGCCATAAGCCTGGAGCTGCCAGGGAAACATATTTGTCACACGATCATGCCAATATGGAAAATAACAGGTCTAGGCAATAAGGGGAGAATCATGATAGCCTCATTTGAACTCCAGGATCCAGCTGAACTTGAAACCAGTCTACCTATGGACTTGGCAGTTCATGAATCAATCAGTTCCCTTTCAGTTACGACTCCCAGGAAGAGTCCTGACTGATACCCAAGTTGACTCAGAAGAGCTTCCGAGCACATCACATCTGTTTTGCTCCTGACTGCCTAGATGATCAGTCTGAAAGTATCACATGTTTTATCTGCGAATTTCGTAGCCATTTATTATCCTTCTATTCCTTAATCTCTGGGGGACCCTTCTTCCTTCTGTTTTTTTAAAAATGGAAAACAGTTTAAGCATGGGGTAGTTAAAATAAGGGGTTCGGGGACAGAACGGAATTTAAGATTCCCTATTCCTCATCTCTAGGGACTACCCTCCCTACAGGGCAATCACTGTTTTTTTTCTGCCTAGTCCTGTAACATGAATGCATTGGGGAAAACCAAAGTCCGCGTCTAAGAGATCTCAGCGGCTGTGGGATAATATGATAGACCCACTTCCCACAGATGAGAGGGGCGTCGGGAAAGCAGAGAGAGACCGGTGTGGCTCAGAGTTCAGCTGCCTCACTCTGAGAGCCACGCAGCTGTTGGGTCACTGGGAGCAGGGACACCTGCCCTGCGATGATCGAGGAACTCAACCTTAAGAGGAAGGGGCCAAGAGTCTCAGACGGCTCAGCTTCCAATTTTGATATTACAAGTATCTAAAACCAACACTTGGGGAAGGTAAAATAAAGTGTCTTCTTTTGAAGTCAGAATTATAATGTATTAGCCTAACAGGTAAATATTGACTGAAGGAAAAGAGAGGATTATTACATCATGATATAAACCATAATTTCAAATTCGGTCTCTGTGTTGTTACTACATATGAACTTTCTGTCCTTAGTCAAAATTGACAAACTGACAAAGAGCTCATTACAGGAGATAAAACATGAAGGAGGCCAATCAAAACACATTTCAGAGGCTTAAATTTCCCTCAGAATTCCCAGCAGAGCCTCTAAGACCAGCGAAGAGCAGCTCTCTTATTCTCCCCTTTGGACCGTCTTTTGTGGAAACCCTAAGTAAATATTTTATTACATGTATTTACATAATGTGAACTTGCAGAACACTTGAGGTAGTGGCACTGAAGGTTTTATTCTGTGAAAGAGAAAATATAAATCCAAATGTTCTGTAGTATCCACTGCCAACACACTTAGGACCAACTCGATGTTTTAAAAAAAATACTGTCTTCCATATAAAAGGATTCTTTAAAAAAATTTTTTTTGTACATGAAAAAGTTTTCACCGACTGACCCGGGCTAAGGTAAGCCCTGAAAGTTCGGGAAAGCTGGGGAGGCAGAGGGAGGCACAGTCCCCGAGGCCGGCCATGGCTGGCTTGCCTTTGCTCAGTGCCCACAAACGTAAATGAATACAAATGCTCCTTGGAATGAACCTGAGAGGACATCAGAGCTGCTGCATCCAAGGAAAACACAAATAGAAACGAAAGCAGCGGCTTAAAAACCACCTTGTCTAAGCCAGCCTCCCAGCCAGTTCAGCCCCTTTCCAACAGTGTCCCTGCCAGGTGGCCCCTGACGCAGCATCCAGGGTGGGGCACACACGACCTGAAGCCACTTGCTCTACTTCTGAAGCGCTCTTGTCACTTCAGCAGGAACATGTGAAAGCGCGTGGTAATCAGTAACAGTTACTTGGACACAATGCTGACCATGACGATCACGAAAACAATACCGATGGCAGCAGTGGCTGATGATTTACTGTCTTCCTTGTGCCTGAGGCTCTGCAGATGTTCATCTCATTCCGACACAGGCGCATACATTGAATTCCACCGATGAATCATCTGAGGCTCAGAGAGGTTCCAAGTCACTTGTCCAAGGTTACCTGCCTAGGAAGTAATCACCCCTGGATGCAAACCCAGGTCCGATTCAGAGTCTTTGCTCCTTTTGCTACCCGCACCCCACTCACTCCAAAACAAGATGATACAAGTCAATTTTTCGCCTCAGTGGCTCATAGCTCAAAATCGTTCCCTAGCTCTAGGGAGACTCAACAGAAGCCATTCGTGGCCAGGGATTCAGAAATCCTGTTGGTGACCTGTCCCAGCCTTGTCCCCAGTCACATCCCTGTCCCTGCAGTCTCTCCCGAGGTTCCCATGGCTGGTCCCCTTCACCACTTGCAGCCTGGCGGTCCAGCAACTGTAAGTCATCAGCTCCGGGACGACTTAATTGTGAGGCCTCAGGGTCCAACTGCCGCTGTCTAAGTGTCTAGCTGCCTTCCTCAGCCGTCAGTCCTCCTTAGCGGGCAGCGGTGGGACTGTCCTCAGCAACTGAAAGGGTAGCACCATTGGTGCAGGTGGGGACATCCCAGGCCACCCCTCTGAGGAGTGAGGAGTGCCACCAGGGCCTGCCAGACTTGGATCACTTGAATTCACTTTTACTCACCGCTGAGACCTGACAGTGGTGATGGGCTCTTCTTGACCCAGAAGGACGCTGCTTTTAATCCAGAATTTCAGGGAACAATGCTGCCAAATGTATCTCATCAAAAAATGGCTGCTTCAGTCTGGGTCACTAAGGGCCTTCATGTTGCTAAATCCAAACCTTTTTAGGCCTGACTTGACCTGACCTTACAGGGCATCTGAAGCCTAGTGATTTCTTCCTCCTTAACACACGCTTCCCTCGGCTTGAGCATGTCTGACAGTGTGACTGCTCCTTCCCAGGCTCCTCTTCCTCTCCTGTCCCTTACATGTTGGAGTGCCTCCAAGCTTGGCCCTGAGCTGCTTTCTCCGGCAGTCCTACTCTCTCCCTGGATTGTCTCATGCCCTCCCAGGAGTTCAAGCATCATCTCTGTGCTTCGGTCTCCTTAATTCTGCGCCACCAGTCTAGACTTCTCTGAGCTCCAGACCAACATGCCCCTCAACTGTCCCA